TCCTCCACAGTCACCACCTGTCCCCTGTGTTCACACCTGTGGTGTTAGTCCCACTATGTGTGTATCAAGGCTGCCCCCTGTGGCCAATAACATGGTGGAAGTGATGAGGGGTCACATGTGAAACTAAGTTATGAAAGGTTGAGGCAGCTGCTTTGAATTGGCCTTCTGTTTGCTTCTCTCTCTCATTCCCTTTTTGCCTCTCCCTCTGCCCCCTTTCCCCCCACCTCTCTCCCCTTGGCTTTTTTCTCTCTCTCCTCTCTTCTCCCATCTCCTCCCCTCTGGTCCTCCTCCCCCAGAATCAGAATCAAACTGACGCCAGCAAATTGGGTTGGGTTCTGCACCAGCCCATGAGTGGTGCCAACGCCCAGTGCTTGGCTGCTGAGAGAGATTGCAGACTGGGCTGAGACCGGCAGTTCGAGTACATCCAGAGGTGGCTCTGGGCTTGGCAGTCTAGTTCCAGAAAATGGACGCTAGAAAGCTCGGTGGAGGACAGTTGTGCTGACACACACAGGCACACGCACGCACTCTCGCAGGGTTGCCTGACTTAGGCTTAACTCCAAGGCGCGGCTGGCTAGTGCTGTTCTGTGCCCCGTGGCCGGCACAGCAGCTCCCTTGGGGGAGAGGGCAGCATGGAGGAGGCCAGTAGATGTGATTCCGACCCCACAGGAGCTGCCTGTGCAACCTAGAAGCCCTTTAGTACTCTCCTTTTTACAAACGGGCGTGTGGGTTGCCTGTCCCACTGTGGAGCAGATAACTCCATGCTTGGGCAAGCCTGCACCGTCCCCAACACTAACTAGAGAGCAGCACCCCCTCCCCATCCCGCCGCCCTTACCACTTTCCCCAAAGCCAGGTCAATTCCATTTCCTGGTGGGTGGGTGAGAGAGAGAGAGAAAGAGAGACAGACAGACAGACTCGGTGTTTCTGAATCTGAGCCATAGCTTGTTACTAGCAAACGCCAAAACAAAAGGCAGTGGATGCCCTGAAATCTGGTCTCACTCAAGCCTGACCTTTCACCCTTTGTTGTCCACACACAGTTAGGTGCCCCCGTGCCACCCATCCGTCATTATCCCCAGAGCCGGCATTGGCTCCCTCTTGCCGCACTCAGAGGAGGCAGGAGCGAGCAGCTCTGAGGACATCCCAGTGCCAGAGCCTCTTTGCCTTTCAGAACGGAGTTCCTAACTTCCTGAAGGACTTGGCGAAAGCCTGCCACAACTACTTCAAGAAAGCCTAAGGACAGGACATTGGGGAGCCAGGTGTCCACGGAAGGATGTCTCCGCCCATGCCACGGCCTGCTGCTGTCTGGCTCTCCAATGGACTTCAGAGGCCTGCGAGCTGGACATGCGATCCTGGACCGAGCTCGCTTAGGGGGCGGGCACCTGGCTTGCCTTCCACTTCCTTTCCCACTATCCCCACCCCAGGGCTGTTAGTGAACCAGGGCAGGATCAGGGAGACCTTTGCTTGTTTATTTTAAAAAGGGGAAGTCCTCAGGAGGGAGCACAGTCATTCCATTGTGCGGTCCTGCAGGGGTGGGGTGGGTGGGTGCAAGATGGATAACAAGATGCAAGACTGACCATCCCTCGGGCAGGCCGGCTCCTCCCAGGGCATGATTTCTTGCAACTCTGGGGGGGCTGCGGGAAGCTGCAGTCTCTTCCGAAAGGCCTTTCAGAGGAGGTCCTTTGTTGACTTGATTAGGCTGGATGTGAGGGGATCGTCCAATCAGTCTCCTGTGCCTGCTGACCGCCTGGTGGTATCAAACCATCCTGGAGAACACCGAGGGCCTCCCTGGGCACATCACAGGCAGCCACTTTTCCTCAAGTCCCTGTGTTTCAGTTTTTCTGTTTTCTATATGCCACCCCTCTCCAGCGCTGCTGGGAGACCTGGAGATCCTGCTGCTAGCCATCAACAGCTACTGTGTGCCCAGCCTCCAGACCGCTTGGCTTTACAAGCAGCCAGTGGAACCTCCCTCCAGGCATGCTTGGCCAGGCTGATGAGGTGGTAGTGGGTCACCGCCAGACAATCGAGTGTACCTTGTTTGACTCTGCACCCTTTTCTCAGGAGTTCTACCTAAGTTGCCTGCCTCTCACACCACCCAAAGGCCTTTTGGCTTCCTCTCTTTTCTTCTGAATTTTGATAAGGAACGCTATCTTGTGATCAAAGGCCCTGCCTTGATGATTTCTCAGGGGAAAACCTGTAACCAGTGTGTAAAGGTATCAAGCCTCAATTCCCGGGCGCAGACTCTCAGGACATTATGACCGGAGGAGGGGATTTATTCTCCTGGGATACCTCCAACTGCACAGCTTCTCTCTGGGAAGGAGACTACTCCAGATAGAATAAACACAGAGCAACCTACCCTTCATGGGGGTGTACTTCCTAACTTAATTGTTCCTTTTATGAGAATGAGCAAGTTCAACACAGATATTTTTGCTTCATGAAGGTTTCTCTGATGTTACAGCAATAAAACCTATTTTAAAAACCAAATCGCTTAGGTCTCCTTTGTGTGCAAGTGATAGCCAACCTAACTTGGGCGGCGGGAAAAGTTGTTTTAGCGCCCTGTGCTTGGAAGACCAGGTTACAGGGGTCTCAGGTAAGGCTTGATACAGGCGCCCAAACGATGGCTTAGCTGTGTTTTTAGGTTTAGCTTTGTTCTCCAGGTCACCTTTGATCTTGGTCTGTATTTGGTGTGGGGGGTTGTGGCCAACAGCAGGAGGTGGGTCTGCAGCATCCCCATTCATGCTAAGCCGAAAAGAAACAAAAGAAGACGGCTTTTTGTTTGTTGGCTTCTGGTGTGTGCCGTACCATCCGACGGTTTTCGTTAAGCCATGTGCCTGCCCCTGCAGTTGTCAAGCCTTTGTGGTTGATGGTAGGTGCAGCCTGGTAGGTGAGTAACTACTCACGGCCGACCATCCCTAAATGCATAAGCAACCAACCCCATCCTAGTTGTGTTTAGGAGCCATCGAGTTGGTTCTGATTCAAAGTTACCCACCCTACGTACAAGAGAAGGGAACACCACCCGGTCCTGCGCCATCCTCAAAATTGTAATGTTTGAGGCCATTGTGGCAGCCACCGGTCAATCTATCTTGTCAGGGATCTTCCCTTTCACTGCCTCTCGACTTTACCAAGCATGCTGGCCTTTTCCAGCGACTTATTTCTCCTGATAAGATGTCCAAAATATGTGAGACCAAGTCTTACCATTCTTGCTTCTAAGGGACATTCTGGCTCTTTGTTCTCTTGGCAGTCCATGGTACTTTCAACATTCCTCCCCAGCACCAGCGCCATCGTTGTCATTAGAGAAGTAAATTCCTCATGTGTATCATTAAACTATCATTATCTGTAATTTAACTGGAATTTAATTTTAGATAAAAAAACCAAATGCCTCAAGCTATAGAGTTCAAATTAAGATTTTACATATAGACTGTTTGGAGCACACACATTAGAAGAGATTCCACCTCTTAAAGTGAGAATGTATGTGAAATGTGGACCGTTATGTGAACCGTGCCTTTAAAACAGTGTTCAATAATTTGTTGTGAACTCCCAGGCTAGGAGACGATTGTGTTTTCAGGTACAGTGTGTAGGGAAGAGAGGTCACCCAGTTTGTTCTGATTAGTAGGGGGGTGATATTTTGGAACATAGGCTTGCTGAGATGGAGTAGAAGACTGTTGGGATGGGTTCTCTAGAGAAGCAAATCAAGTGCCGCGCCTTGGTGTTTGTGCGTAGAAAGAGGTTTGTATTGAGAAATGGCTTACACGGTTGTAGAAATACCTAAGTCTAGCCCTTTCAAGTCCTGCACCTGACCTGTGTTGCTGTGGAAGCTGAAGGACAGGAAGCAGGATGCTGAAGCCCGAGCATGGGGCCTGAGGTCACAGGCTGGTGGACACGGAGGTCAATGGACAGCTCGCTTATCTGCAGGCAATGCCATGGGAAATGGACGAACCAGATACAAGACCCAGCTCCAGCAGAAGGCGAAGGGCCAAAAAGAACTCGGCCTCTGATTAAGTCACTCTCTTCTACGTAAGGTCACAGCCCCAAGGAGGTGGGGTGGGGGTGGGGCGGTCATCAAGTTGTGATTGATAGGTTGGGCTCCAATCAATCTTTGCCCAAAGGTATCTACTTGACAGACTAACCATCACAAAGACCATCTGAGACGGCTTTGCCGTAGTCACAAGAACCATAGAGCCAGCACTTGGAGGGTTACAACCAATTCTTTAGGGCTTGCCTTTCCTCAAGGCTTGATGTATTATTTGGAGTTTGAAAGTACTATATTGCCTTACCTCTAGCATTTAGTTTCACTTTTCCTGTGTTGCTTTCAAAGGAAGCCTGGTGGCACAGTGGTTAAAGCGCTTGGCTGCTAACCCAAAATTTGGTGTTTGAAACCACCAGCCATTTGGAGGGAGAAAGAGGTCTCCTTCCAGAAAGATGTCTTCGCAGAAATGCACTCTGTCCTGTAGAGTCTCTGTGAGTCAGAAATAGACTCAATGGCAGGGTGTTGAATTTTTTCTTTAAGTGTGTATATGTGTGTGGTAGTGGGGTGGGTGTCTCAATAGACCATAAACTTTTTGTGATATGAAATTATTACATATTTCTTGTGATCCCAGATAAAGTCCCAGGGTGGTGCAAATGATTGCGCAGTGGGGCCACTAACCCAAAGGTTAGCATTGGAGCCCACCCAGAGCATCCTGGAGGACAGGCCTTGCAATCTGCTTCCAAAGCCCTGGAAAACACATGAGCAGCTCTACCCCGCACAGGGGGTTGCCGTGAGTCAGAGTCAAGTCCGTGCCAAAGCGATAACAGCAGGGCAGCCTGTCGTGGGCACTGACGCAGAAGCTGAAGAAGGGAGCACATGATTTAGAGAGGCTGGACCAGAGGAGACTAAACCATTCCCGGTTTGGAGACTCATTCCCCAACAATTCTAGCCAGACTGTTCTTGATAGTCTCAATTTGCCCAGTTTCCACCAGCTCTTCCTCAAAGTCTCCAGCTCCTCTCTCGGAGAGGGGGAGCTTTGTTGGTGCGGCTGCAGGCTCTGTCTGGATGTTACTGGAAACAGTGCCGTCTGGACTGGAGCCAGCTGAGATTAGGCAGCATTTCAGTTGAAACTCAATGGCCAAAGTAGCTCTAGTGTCGGTGCTAAATTTTTTTCCACCCCAGAGAATTATTCACACTGCATAACAATTCAAAGTGAATGGGCCACCTTGGAACTCAGAAATTCCAGCAGAGGGTCACTGCCCTTGAAAATGTTCCTATTTCATGAGAGCCCTGGCAGCACTCCCTGGCTGGGATTCCTAGCCCAGAGTCCCCATCTGTGATGCCTGCCCTTCAAACCTCCCGCTTCCCAGCTGGATTTGGAAGCGACAAAGCAGGAAGAGCCCATCTGGTTCTCACGTGTCTGGTAGCACCACCCGATTGGCTCTGGGGATCATCTTTAGAAAGCTCTGGGGTGTCTGGTGTCCATCCAGCTAAAGGTGGTAGGCACAGTGGTCTCTGGGCTGAAGGAGGCATAATTGGCCTTGCCCTCTGGGAGCTTACGATCCAGTGAAGAAGCCGTCGTGAACTGTTGAAAGGGTGATGAGCATGAAGAAGGAGAGGCTGTCAATCTGGGCGCACTGACCAGGTTTGAAGGAGCAGAGACTGAACCCAAAGGTTAAGCAGGCTTTCGAGAACCGATGTAAATGTACGTGCAATTGGATATATGAGGGGAAACCAAGGCGCAGTGTTAAGAAGGCTCCAGCTCATAGGTGCACAGGCTTACTCCAAACAAAATGTATTTACGCACATTTTTGCAATCATTGGGTGACTTCAGACAAGTTCGCTCATTTAGTCTTGGTCTCATTAGGGTACCTTCCAAAAAAAAAAAAAAAAAAGGTCTAATCCAAACAGTGGCTTTTGAGAGTCAATTAAACTCACGGCAGAGAGGTCAGGCTCAAGAGGCCATGGTGCTATCTTTGGGGATTTCAAAGGGGGTAATGTGGATTTTCTTGAAGGATGCAGGATAGTTATGGGGCCTTAATTAGGAAGGAGGTTAAGAACATTGAAAACTTCCATAGTGGGAAAAGTGGTGCTGTGGATTTATCCCGCTCCCCACCCCCACCCCCCGTCACCGCCCATCCCACCATGTGTCTGCTCATTCTTCCAGGGCACCAAGGGCTGCCCTATGAGGGTTTCATGGTGAAACCTTATTCCATTCGCAGTACAACACTGATCTTGTTCCTTCAGACTCCTTTTTATTCCCCAAACACAAAGAACACTTTAAAGGAACCTCATTTGTGTCCCTTGACGATATCCTGACTGCCGTTTTGACACGGTGTGAATAAAAGTGCACAGACTGATTCGGGGGAAGTGTAGGAGAGATGCAAACACTGCCTTCAGAAATATCTAGAGAGAGAGACATGTTGAGAAACAACAGCTTCACAAGTTGCTAGTTTTGTTGAATGAAAAGTGCTATGGGTGTGTGGCGGTACTGTCTGGTTTACCTGTACACCTGATGGGCGCTCTGAGGGAGGCTCTGGGTGGCACAGGCATTTAAGCACTG